GAAAAGAGCATTCCCAGTCCTGCAGGAATCAGCCCTTGTGGGGCCGAGAAAGCAGAGCTGGTGGGATAGAATTGGCTTCATTGGGAAAACAAGGAGAAAAAAATCCTTCTCAGACTCAGTAAGCAAATATTTTAAGGCTTTCTGCCCAACACATTTTAAACAACATACTGTTATGATCTGTTGATCCTATCAATGTTATACTCCTATTTTAAAGGCATATTTTCTTTTTGACACGTTATCCATTTACATATGTCTTTAACTAGGGTCACCCACCTCACACAGCAAGCTTTTCAGAGATGCTGCATATGACATGCAAATACCTGTTGAACGTAGAAGATAGGTTGTGAACGGAAGGCAGATGTGTGCAAACCACTTCAGAACTGCACTATGCTAGTCTTTTATTTTTGTTGGCTATTTTATTGCTACAATCTTAATGTTGCTTAAATGCACACTTTTAATGGATTAATTGATAAGAACGCCAAAGATACGATGAGCAAATAATTAGCAAGTATGCTCTGCACATATCTGCAGCTGCATTGTACAGCAGCTGTTCTTAGTATGGAAAAAACATCAGCATGTCTTAGAAAATCACTTTGCATTTCAAGCTAGGAAATCTCAGCTACGTTTCATCTGACTTATGGATTGTGAAAAGCTACCATAGTGAAAAACAAATTGTTGGATACATATCGCAGAGAAGGTTTATATGATATATCACTCAGCGTGGAGCCTGGTTTGATTTACTTTGCACCCAAGCAAAAGAAACTGAAAAACAAAAAGAACGTTTTTCCATTCTTTGCATTCCCTGTGATATTCCGCCATCCTTCTAAAGGTAAGGCCCATCATGAAGTCACTGTAGTTTTGCATTCAATAACTGGTGGAAGGATAAAATCTTCCTGCCTAGGCGGATGGTTCATGGCTGCACAGGTGGAACTAAATGTCTCATTTCCCAACTTATACCTGATTTGGAGAGGATTTTGGCTCTTCTGTCTTGCAGAGGAGACTAGGGAGCTGCATGGGACAGTGGGCTCTTCCTGTGCACTGTCCCTTGATCTGGTTTAGACACCAGGGACCTTCTGTGACTTACTGCGAAGTGTAATGACTGTGTAATAACTGTGGCACTAGGCAAATTACCCACTGACATTCGGGAGTTTGTAAAATGTTAGGGAATATTTAAAATGATGCAAATGAATATTTTCATACAGCATATTTGGCTGTATTCCTGGCCTGTATTATTTTTCTGGGTTGGATACCTCCATCTCCAGCAGACATTCAGTCCTTGAAATGGGTTGGCTTTTATTTTATTCTATTTATTTTTCTGCCATCTATTATTCTAAAGAGATGTAATGGATCAGCCCAGATATATTTCATGTTGTGAGGAGAGGGAATGAAATAGCATGAAAATCATCCACAGTTCAACACTGAGCTGATATCTGTGGAGATAAAAACTTAGTCCACGACATTTTTACCTTGTGTTTTGGATTCCACGGGGTAACAATCAGCTCCAAAAATCTCATTGTGACAATGCTTTCAAAGTCAAATAAGAAGCAACAATGAGAACACGCCCTTCCTCCCCCCTGCCCCAGTGGCTCCCCTCCAGCTTCATAACCCCAATTTATTTTTGACATTGCACCATAAGACTGAAAAGATTAATCTATAATAGATTATCTCACAAATCTGCAACAGAAGAACAGAGGATGTGATTTGCTCAGGATTTGGCACACTAGCAATGGCACATTATGGCAAAGTACTTAATAAATACCATACTACAGAAAATTAAAATGGAGGAAAGCTCAGGCTACCGCGGAGAGACTTCCCTGCGGTGAGGGAACCCCCTCTGCAACAGTTGCACCAACCACTGCCCACTGACTGATCACCAGTAGTTGAGAAAATCTTTTCCATCAGCTTTCCAGAAAGGTTTCTCCATGCTTAGGATGTTCAACACACCTTGCTTTGAGCTTGCATTTCAGAAGTGCTAAGCACCTATGACATAGAAATAGAGGCATTTACTCCATCTTTTGGTGCCCTGTGGGGTCTCAGAATGTATGTTATAGAAGTGCAAAGTGTAGTTATTTGTGGGAAGTATTGAATGCCTGGGGGAAACACAAACAGCTGGATGGCTACATCGCGTATTTGTGCTACTGAGTGTTCACCTTCATTTCAGAGAGTAGAGGATGTTTGTGTGGAACTCACTGCATAATTTATGGCACTGTGAAACATTTACTGGGGGTAAACCTGAGTCTAAGGAATCTGGTTGAAAAGGGTAAGCATATTTTTCTGGGACATGGCTGCCTCTTGTGCCGAGCTTAGAAGCCAAAAGCCATCAAAAGAAAACTAGAGCAATGTCTAAGTAAGGGACAGCAATTTCTGGTGGTATTGACAACTTATTTGCCAGATAACAAAAATAGCTGCCGTTCTTTCCCATCTTACAAATTGCTTAGGAACACTAGAAACTTGAGAAAAATTCTCTCTCACCTGTTTGACCTGGGCCAAATGCTGAAGAGCAGTCTTCCACCTAAGGGCAGGTTGCTGTCCATTAGTCTGCCATGCCCCTTCCCTTGACCTAGTGGAACTTTGCCTTTGCCCGTGCTTCTGCCTGTCCTTGGCCTCCTGTGTGGTGCCAGTGAAGGTCTCATTCTCCAGACTCATAGGCTATAACTGAGGACAGTAATTCATTTAGTGTGTGCCATCAAACAGCAGCTGTTTTTAAACTGACCCGAGGTGCAGGTGTGAGAGAGTGGCATTGCTCATGGAAGTGCAGGAGAGCAGCAAAAGTCCATGAACCAAAACCCCACAGATGAGCAGCAGGATGAGGTGTCTGACACAGATCTGGGGATGGGGAACTGCCTGATGAGCCAGTGCTGCCAATGGACAGGCAACACAAAGATGCCTGTATGCTGTCGTCTCCACAGTACCTCAAAAGGAGATGTTTATGCCTTCATTTAAGCTGGCTTTTTAGCTAGAAGACACAGGCTTTCTTTGGTTTTCTGTCTGTGTGGTGACGACAACTCTTCCCTTTATTCAGCAGCCAAACTGAAGCTTGCTCGGGCAGCACTGACATCATCCAGTCTGTGTAGTGATGCACAGCTCAGCAGGGGAAACCAGCCCAGGGAAACAGTGATGATGCTACCACAGACCCCAGGTTGCTTCAACTCAAATCTATCAGCTCAGCTCAGTCCCTGATCCTTTTTGGAGAAATCAGAATTTGGGCCTTCCTCTCACAGACACCGGAGGGTCAGGTCCAGGCTCCACTTTTGTGCTCTGCTGGCAGGGAAATGAGTTGCACTTCAGCAGTTCGGAGGGATTTTTGAGCTGGGAGACAGCAAAGGCAGCAGCAACAGCTGCAATTCAGAGGGGGGAAAAGCAGTGCTTGAAGTTTCTCGGAGGACTGATGCAAGTGGTTCAGATTGATGAGCATTGCCACATCATTCTCAACTAGATAATCTTTAAAGGTCCGTTCCAACCTGGCTCAGGAACTGGAGGACAGCAGGACTCCACTCCTAGCTGAACATGCCCAAGATCCCTGCATCCTCAAGCGCTGTGCCATGGAAGAGCTGTGGTGCTTATCAGGTGCTTAACTTCTCTTGTGCCGTGGGGACTCATGTAAACATCAGAAAAATCCAAAGCCACAGAAGCAGCCATGAGGTGCTGGCACACAGCCTCTGCTCCCAGGTGGCCTCAGCACTCATGTCTTGCTCTAATGCCACCGCTGCACTCAGAGGTGGTGTGGCCAACTGCCCTGAATTTCAGTCTTTTTTTTGTTTGTTTGCTTTTTTGTGAAAGCCAGCAATCATAAGAATTAAGTGGTTGGATGAACCGTAATTTACTACTGTGAGCTCTCCTTGCCTGTGTATTTCTAACAGATACAATGACAGATGCTGAGATGGTTGCACTTTGGACAAAATAAATATAGCAACAGTAATATTGGGACATAACTGTAGGAAAAAAAAAGGCAAAGTTCATAAACAAATCCTCACTCATTTCATCACTAATTATTATTCTAATTCTGATCTTTGATTACTCAAAATAAAATGTTCAAAAAAAAAAAAAAAAAAAAAAGATTTGTTAGTCTAAAGCAATGTTAAAACATGTGTTCAGGAGTAATGCATTTGTTTGCTCAGGAACAATCCATCTGTTAGTACAAGAAAATCGGGACAGGAAAAATAAACGTTATCCTGTGATATCAGCCATGTGAGAGAAGAATCCTTTTGAAACTCCCTCCAAGAAATCCCAACCAGAGTGCTGAAGGAGGCAGACAAGCACTAATGAGCAGGAGTGCAGCCTCCGCTGGACTCCTGCTCCTGTAAAGCAGCAGAATTACAAAATGGATGGATATGAAAGAAATTGCAGATTTGCTGGAGATATCTGCTGCTTAGTGCCTACAAATTTAGTTTAAGGGGCCTCTCAATGAGTGTACTGAAATGAGTCAAAAGCAGAAGAACTTCTGACTTGCTTGAAGATCTTTAACACCATCTCAACTTTTCTAGAAATTAAAACCTGTCCACACTAATAATTCTGTACTCTTGGATTTTAGCTTCTTTTTTTTTTTTTTTTTTTTTTTAATCAAAGATGCATGTATTTCAAATTTGTCAAATAACTGGACAAAGCAGTGTTAAAAATTCAGCTACACTAATTACTAGTTGAGCAGCATAAAAACCTCTGAATAAATGTCAGTCTAGGAGATAAGCTCTTATCTTAATCTAATGACTCCACAGACTTAATTTGTCAGGCCAGCCTAGTTGATGAAAAACAGGTTTCTATTCTCCAGTGTTAGCAGCCACATCTTTCCAAATCTTTGAAGTTGGATAGTAATACCATCAGTGTCATCCTGCAAAAATCTTGTGGCCAAGCCAATTTCATTCCTATTGTCCTGTTGTACTAATTAAAAGTTGCTTTACCTCCATTCATCTGCAATAGGTGAAAATGAAGCCAATTTCTTTTTAGATCTGTTATATTGTGGGATAATCTTTCTTTCTTTCTTCGTCGTCTTTTTTTTTTGTTTGTTTGTTTTTAATTCCCTCACACTCAACAACATGTTAATATTTGCAGTGCTCTTTTAGTATCAGAAAGCCACGCTTTGCAGCAGGGCTCCACAGACAGCACTGTGCTATCCCAGGACAATTCCTACAGTGCAGATGAAGTCTGCAAGTGTGTGTCTGTGCTTATTTGTGTCAAGAACAATTTTAAGCTCAGGCAATGAATTTGATCTTAAAAGACGATTTTAGGTCTTGGAAGTTCTTTCCTAAAGGAGCATTTGACATATTTAGAGGTAAATGCACCAAATGTTCTTATTGTTTGGACAACGTGAATTAACGAATAGAAAAAAGGAAATTGGCTGCAGTCAATGTTTCCAGCCCCCCCTGTCTCAGCTAACCCGTCTGATGGGAATCTGGCAGGTCCCTTTATGCACAGTGCTCCACTCCAAAGGGCACCATTTAAGCATGGTATTTTTCATCTCACAGCAGTTGCAGTGTTTAAAGAAGGATATGCTTGGGTTTGAGGAGTTACCTGGGAGGTGAGGTTTATGCTGATGGTACCCAGGAAGGTTACAGTTGAGAAAATTTGAGGAAAATAACAGGGTTAAGGTGCAACCTACTGAAGCAAATCATAGAGGCCATGGGTCAGCCCTGCGTTTTTGAAACCTTTTTAAAGGTTTGTGTGTGAGTATAGACACTCAGTTCAGCATCCTGGTGCTCCTGTGTATAGAAGGTGCTGGGAACCAGTGCTGAAGCAGACAAATCCTGGGAGGCCAGGCTGGCTGTACTGCCTGGCAGGGTTTCTCCTGCAGTGGCACAGACCCTCTGGCAGGACACACAGGCTGGGAGGAACCGTGGTGAGCTTTGCACCTGCAACAACTTCAAAGTGGACATTACTTCCCCATCTTAGTTGGGTTCTGCATCTGAAGCATACCAATGGCATCCTTTCAAATCCTGGCCAGTACATAACTTCTTATGGGATATTTCTAGCAGCTGGAGTCCATAACATATTTCTTCTACTTTTTGCCCTCTATCTATGCAGAGGAGCAGTTTAAAAAGTATGCCTGCATGAAATGCTCATGGTCCTAAACACAGCTCAGAAAGATGGGACTGACAGATAAATTGGAGGCAAATTTCCATAGATACTAGAGCATTTCTGAGTGCAGATCAGTTCCTGAAACATGTTTAAGAACTGTGGCCTGTTGCTTTCTGAGAGACAATAAAATTTTATGAAAGCACTGCGCTGCAGCCAGTATCAGACCCTCTGTCATGGTTTTATGATTTGAAATCCTTTATGACCATTGACACCCTCTAAACATTAATAAACATCTGGTGTGTGCTCTGCAAGTTTCAGGCCTTGTCGGACCAAAGCTTAAATTACATCCATTGATTTCATAATGGAAGTGATGGTCTACTCTGGAACATGCCAAATTCATTTACATTAGGGCTATGGCCTGGAATGGCACTTTTTTTTCATAAGAATTAATGGACCCTCATTTCTCCTACTGTGAGTCAGAGTTTAAATCTGCAGGCCATTTCTGACACAGCTGAAACAGAAAATGAAAACACTGAAGTGAAATTTTCGAAGTGACATTTGAATTCCCTTTCTCTGAGGAAATCCCACCTATTGATCCAGTCAAATGACTGCAGTCTCCATGGGTCCATCCTGCAAAGTATCCCCAACTGGCTTATTACTGTGATTCTTCAGGTGCACGCTACCCTTTTTCAACAAAGGACAGGTGCCAGCTAATCAACTGGAAAAATGAAAGCTCCTAGAGATAAAATACTCATTCAAGTGAAAGTTACGACAATAATACTCCCATGGACATAAGTGGCTACATGTATCTTAGAACATTATCTCAAGTCTGAATTGCCATTTGAATACTGACTTCCTTATTTACACCATGAGTTTGACTTGGAATAAACTAGATTACTGCCCTTTCTCCAGCACCTTGAGTGTTGAGGGGCTGACTCATGTGGGAGCCACGTGCTATGGGCAGCGTACCAGTATACCTAGCTGGCTTGAGTCAAACCTCCCCTGCTCCTCCAGGAGGCTTTGTAATCTCATTCCCAGGTCCCACTGCTCCTTTCATGCCCTCCAACAGTTGTTCCTATCATCTCACTACAAGAAAATCTACCTGCTTGAGTCTGTAAAGGAGCCCTACCGTTTCTGGACCACTGCCTACAAGGAAAGCAAGTTGGGGTGCTGAAGAGAACTAAAGTATTATGAAAGAACAAAGCTGAGTTCTTTGTGGAAAAAAACATGACTTTCAATCAGAGAGCTACAGATTCAAATCAATTTTTCTAGCAAAGGGGAATAAGTCACGTCTAAATGCAAAAAGGAGCCTGTCATGCAGAGATACAAAAGTATGGGGTTAGCTGTCAGACTTGATGAAGTATATAGTGCTGACAAGCCAATAATGAGCTAAGGTGAGGCTCCAACTAGCTGGAGCCACCTTGGCTTGGCAAAATGAAGTCTAAATGCTGGTACCACCACTGGAGGTAGGGACATGCATAGTCAATAAGAACTTCTTTCTTGATTTGCAAAGAGAGTATCAGAGTTCACTTGCCTTCTGTGTGGATGAGTGGCACTGTAATGCACTCACCTTACCTTGGCTCTAAAACAATTTCTCACTATAAAAGTTAGTACTTTTGATGCAGCATTTCTAAAAGAAAATGTTTGTTCAATTACTGATCTGGGCCAACTTGGGCAGAGAGATGACTCCTGTACCTACAGGCTGGTTACTAGAAGTGCAGTAGCATCAAAGCAAACAGAACAATAGGTACGTTCTTGGTTATTGAACATCTGGTCATGGCTTCATTTTGAGATTGCTACATGAAGGGGGCAAAAGTGGGTAGAAAATTTTTCAGGGTAGTTTCAGTTTTTCCAAAACATTCTACATGTGAGGATGGCTGCTGGGAAAAAAAAAAAAAAAAAAAAAAAAAAAAAAAAAAAAAGTCCATGTTAGGCTCTTGCTTATGTAGCAGTGCTGTGTAATGCAGAGAACAAACAGCTTTGTGAAGATAAGGGTGGCTTCCCCCACATGGGATGCTCTTTCCCCTTTCATTTCAGCCTTACTAAGTGCACACCAAGGATTTTCCACTTCTCCAATTTCAAAGAGAACCTCCACCCACCCACAAGTATTTCCTCTGGTCTTCACAAGCTGTTATTGGCTCACACACCTTCCCTGCACTCTTTGGGAAAAGAGGCAGATAACACAGGGAGAGCTGATTCTTGGGACTAATAGTAAAGGTACCAGTTAAAGGACTTAGCAGGGGGCCTCAGATTTGCTTGCAGAGTCCTATGTGTCTTTTCTCGCGATCAAAGTGACTGCAAGAGATTGTGGTTTTCAATTCATTTTTTGCATATGGGAAAGAGGGTGGCTTTGTGCAATGGCTGTTTAAAAATACTTCAAAAGAACTTGAATCAGTCCATGGCTGTGCTATATACAAATTAAAATAATTGATTTTTGGCAGCCTTTTAGGAGATCTATAAATTAAAGGGATCACGTTTCTGATACATTCTGAGGGGACTTTATTTTATGCTGACTTACAGAGTGCCCTCCATGCCAGAGCTGGAAGTCAGCCATCAAAGCAGAGAGTTTCTCGCTGTCATGCACTCTACCCTCCTGTCACTGGGTCTTTCTGGAGCACCCATGGTTATGGCAGGTCCTGGACTACACTGACTCCATACCCCTTCTTTTCATTTTATGCTTTGAGAACTTAATGTTGAGATATAGAAGCTGCCCCAAACCCAGCAAGACCCATTCCTCTGGGGAGATAGTTTCTCTCCCTTCTTCTCCATCAGTAGAAACTGATACGCTCACCCAGTTTGTGCCGCACCTGGACAATTCCCTTTGTGTGCACTGATGGCAATGGGTTCAGCTCTATCTGTGATGACCTAAAAATAGCTCTCAATTAACATTGCATTTCAAGAATTGGAAAATTTCCCAGAAGTCCATTCTTTTTTTCTTTTTCTGTTTCATTACATTTTACAGTAATAATACACAAGCCTGTAGAAAACATGACGGGTAATGAAAAAAAGTAATTAATATAAGCAGTGTAAAGCATTTTTTTTTCCCTCTGTTGTCCTTGCAGAAAATTACTGCTTTAAACTGAGCAGGATGTGAAAATGCATAAAGCAAACAGTAATATGCTGTGGTTTGTAAATATCTTATGCAAAACAGTTAAGTCAACTGCTGTTTATTTTTCTTACTTTGTGTCACAAGCTCTTATTTTCTTTTGTTCGTTATTTTTTCCATTTGTTCTTTCTTTGGGAGCTTGTTCTCTTTCATCTTAAGGAAGTCACTGGGTTTAGTATATATTTTTTTCCCGCTACAGTTAATTCAATCAAACATATAGGACAGCCTATTCTGTCTCTTCTTACCGTCTCTGGTAAGTGCTGGCACTGAAATGCAACACGCACCACAGAAGTGTAGCAGACCGGGTCCTCACTATACTGCAGATCTGCTCTCATTGTTCTGGGATGGAAAAAAAAAAAGAATGCATTCTTTTATCCTACAAACAAACAAGTAATTATCCCAAATCCTGCAATAGCGTTATGACAAATGGTAGTTTTCCTGACTGTTCCTGTAGGATTCTGCAGTGCTTTCATAAGGCTGGCCAGTCACAGTTCTGGAATGGGCTGTGAGCAATATGCAGTCAACATTAAGTGAGATGGCACAGTATATGCCAGCTCTCCTTGGGATATTTCTCTCTGGCTATCTGTAGAACTTGTAATATCCAGCGATAGCTGAAGGTCACAGCAGAGTTTCTGTGCTGAAATACAAAACAGCATTCCAAACACATCTTCTGTGGCCAGGCAAGAAACTGCTTATGGTTTATTTTCCCTCCCCCAACTCTGCAGCTGACATCCAGCATTAGTTATTGTTTATTTTTGTCTTGTTCCTGGTTCTAAAGGTTTCCCTTATGGCCCTGGCTTATGTGAACTTTCAGATATCACTTGGGGCTTCTCTGCCTCATCCCCTCTGATGTAGCCAGTTCCCTTGTGAAGGTAGGCTTCCCCAGCTGAAGATCTGTGCCGCTCTCCTGTGGCATTCTGTGCAGCCATTTGGAGTCCCAGATGTAGGAAATGAAATAATCCACGCTCATACAGTCATGAAAGTGCCCATCTGGCACACAGGAACATCACGCATTGGAAGCACACAAGCGTGAGCTCACTTTTGTTATGGCATTTCATAAACAGAGATGCAGCGAGCCAGCAAGTAAGGTCCTTTGGATAATAACAATCATTTCCACCACACATTGTGTTTAAAAAATAGGGGAAGAAAAATCAAGACAAACTGAAAAGATTTGCTCTGAGGCTTCTGAAGAGAAATTTATACTTATAAACGTGTTTGGGTTTTTTTTGTTTTTTTTTTTTTGTTTTGTTTTGTTTTTTTGTTTTGTTTTGTTTTTTTTCCCAGTGGCCTGCTGTACTTACATCTTCTTGGCTCTCTCCACTCTCTCTGTAGATGTAAGACAATGGTGACAGCTGAAATGTTGCCAGTTAACTCTTAGTTACCTCTGCAAGCTCTTCTTCCTCACTGCTCTGTTAAAGAAAGGAAATATTAGCTCATACTTACAGAACTGAGTTCTATAAAAACAAATTGCATGTAACCGCTTTCTTATCACTACATAAAACTCACAAAAACAGTCTAATAAATGACCTCACCACTCAATTTTGAAGTATACAAATTAAAGACAGCAACGGATAAGCCAAGAGAGATTAATGTACAGTGTGTGCCTGTGTGTGTGTGTTTGCATGCCTCTATGAGGATATACCCATATGCTGTTGACATTCAACCTCTGGAATTATAATTAGGGGAAAAGGCAGATGTGTAAATTCATCTTGTTGGGCAGTGAATATATGCTGCACCAGTCCCTGATTAACTCAGGACTTGAACACTATTTACTCCAAAACGCAAGGTTTCTGCTGGGATATGTTGGCTAATAAAGGGGTGGAATATGAGGAAACAATGAACAGCCTGAAATGATGGACTAAGTTCAATACCAGTAAGGAAAAAGCAAGGTTATTTATATTATCCCAGCTTTGTAAAGTAATTGAAAAAAGACACCCTAGGCATTTTGTTGGATGTCATTGCATGCTGTAAAAAAAAAAGCTTGGGATGTACTAAAAATCCCCACGATTAACCCTTCTGACAGGGCTGAATCTTCACAGGGCTCCTCAAAGGGGTGAAATTTTTAAGGCCAAGAATAGAGAGGCTTATCAGGTCTCCTGAACAATTGCAGAAAAATCATGCCTGGTCCAAAGTGAGGGCTCAGGCACACAACTCCATGGTTTATGAACATTATAAATTATGGATAATAGTAAGAGAAAATAGCCTCTGCATTTTACATGAGTCCTTTTTGTATTGTATTTGGCAAACAGTATCCAGTCCAGTATACGTTAAATACTAAGTGCTAAGTTGGGAAAACAATGAGATGTTTGTAAATACGACAGACCATTACAATATACTGCTTCTCATTTGAAAAGTCATTTGTGCAAGAAATGATTATTGACCCATAATATGTAAATGATTGAAATGCAGAAATTAATATTTGGGTCAACTCATGTATTTTTCAACCATGAAATGAAAATCTCAGTATTCACATTCCAATTCATACATGAAAGCATTACAGAGCTATTACTTGGCTATTGTATTAATTTATTATTGTCTTAGTTAATGACATTCAGAGTTATATCTCTACTTTCAAACCGAGGAAAGGCGTTGCTATGCCACAGTAATGTTTCAGCCCAGGAATGTCCCTTTTTCTGGACTTTTCTTGCCCTGGTGACCATAAACCAAATCCACAGTAGATGGAATCAAATAAGCAGCACTGCTTGCTCCAAGGAGAGTTTGGTCCTAACACACCTTAAATCTTGTACGTGGAGGACTAGCTGCTACACTGCAGCTCCTCTGACTGTTCCCACAGGGCTTGATTCCCACCTCTTTCATGAGTTTTACACCACTGTAATGTTGATTATTTACTGCAGTCATTTCAGGAGCAAAATCAGCACAGAATTGGTACATTTAACACAGTTGTCTTTTAGTTTCTTATGACAGAGACTCCTTTTTAACTGAACCACAGCTTTCAGTGGCAATGGCAGTGTGAGGCTTCCAGTGGCACTGGTGGGGGCACGTTCCTCCTGATAGAGCCACAACAGCCCTGGCCCTTCAGCCCAAGGTGACACATCACAGCAAATTTACTGCTCAGGAGACATGCCAGGTTGTTAGTTCCAGAGGCTCACATGCTCTCTTTCTACCTAGGAGAATCTGAAGACCTGCAGCAACAGTTCAGCTTCAGGCCTTGCTTCATCATCCCTGAGGCAGCAGAACGTGGCCCCATGGTGAGATCCCACAAATGCCACTCAGTGCCAAGGTGCATGGCTGAGATGGTCAGTATGAGCCAAGCTGAAATCTATCATATGGTTGTCTCATGGGCTATTACCTACTACATTCAAATTCCACCAGTCACTGAACTTAGCTGGAGTGACTCAGCTTTAAGGTAAAAAATCCAAATAATTCATTAGTATCTTATAAACTGTGTGTTCCACATTCACGCTTTTTTATGGAATAGTAAACAATGCCTCTTTCTGCGTGCCATGGAGTACTGTATTACTTGATGTGTCTATCTCCTTAAAGGGATGCATAATTAAATAACAAATGAGTGCATGAGAGAAATCTATGTAGAATGATATTTGCAACAGACAGAATGAATGGAGAAGAAATGGGCAGAATAATTCAGGTAATACCCAAAAGCAAAGCATCACAAGTCAATCAGGATTAACCCATGAAACATGATGTGCTTCATGAAATGACTGGTATATTCTGAAGACCACAATGACTTCAGTGAGTTAAGCAGGGCTGTATTCTATCAAGATTGCTCCAGTGTTTCTACCCGTTATGCGCACACTGGGTCATGCCTATGAGAATAGATCTGATTTATTTTAGCTAAAATTCTGTACAATTATATTTGCATATATCTTACAGATAAAACATTTTTAAGTATTTTGAGTAGAAAAATTTTATATTTTACATACAAATTATTTTTAGCAGCTTTAAATGGCTCATTTTGTGGGTGACAGAGCTTTACTCACTTTTTAGATAAGGATGTCCCAGTGTAAGAGCATGCTTGGGTGGTGAAGAACGTGCGGCTACCACAAGACCATCTAGAATTGTGATGGAGATGATGCAGAGGTGGTAGCAGTGATCAGTGATGTAGCCACTGCTCCCATGGTATGAATAAGCAACTGCCCACACTGGCTAGCTGTATGGGAGGGTCAACATCCTCTTGGTCCTGCCCAATTAATCATCCTCTCGTTTTCTTAGTCTCTGGTGCAGAAGGCAGACCAGGTGACTAATTCTGGCAGCAGAGGCCCTGCTTCTTAAGAAGACCTTCCCTTGATAGAAGCATTATTTAGTTTTAATTTCCTTGTGGCCTATTCGTTTAATTGAAGCTAATGGCTAGCATGAATCATAGCATTAGGAGGTGAAAGCATGATTTGTACCAGTGATCTAAAGTAGATGGCGTGTCTACCAGGGGTAAGAACAGAGGGTGCAGGTTCCTGATGCTATGAGTCCAGGGAAAGAGCAGGAGAGGTACAGCCTCTCCTCTAAATCCAGTGCCTCCCAGCTGATCTGGACAGCAGGATCAGCTAGGGCGAGACCAAGGTGCAAGCGGAAGTACATACCCTATTTTGCAACAGGCTCTCATAAGTCTCTAACAGACAAGGTGACAAACAAAACACAGCCTTTGTTTAACTTTACTAGTATGAGTAAGCTAATTGGCGTCACTGCGCCTGTGTGTGTGCTTAAAAATTATGTTCATGTTAAAGTGCATTGGTGGCTCAGGGAATAATGGGGGTTAGCACCTTGCAGCTGCAGCCCCAGATGTAGGCCTTGCCCTGAACTTCTGCAAAGCTGGGGGGTGCTCTCAGGCCTGACTCTGCTCAGTTTGTGGCTGAACTGTCCTACACATGCTGCTGCCACCGCTCAATGCTGGGAATTGTTTAAGTCGTGAAGCAACACGTTCTACCAGGACAGCCAAAAACAACAACAGAATTAGCAGGAGCCAGTCCAGCTGACTCCAGGAGAAGCTACGGAGTTTCAAAATTAATCTTAAATTTACCTCTAATCCTGAAAGCAAAACTAATTGCAGAATGTAAGGCTCTCTGAACATGTTTGGGAGCTGGATTGGGTATTCCTTGGAAAAAAACACAGACACTTTAGATAAAGCCTCCATTTTAATTGTATCAATTCTGCCAATTAATGATAATGGAAGAGCAGGCCAATTAGCTAAATAGCTAATAGTTTTATCAAGCAGAGGCTGGCAATTTAAAGCAAACAAATTCTTTCTAATTTTATCCCCTTGCACACCAAGATGTTTAAAGGATAATGGGGGAACCAATAAAGGATATTGTTCAAATAGAGCTACATTTAAATCGCCTAATGGCTTTAAGAGTTTTACCCCAATTAACAAAGAAGAAACATGAACATCCAGCGACTTATAGCATAATATCTATAATCTTCATTAAAAATATATAAATACATATATATATATATACATACATTCTCCAACTAATGGCAGAATGGAAAATATCACTGACTTTCCCCTTAAAAATACTGATTTCTCCCAAAACAAAGGCTTCTCTGTAACAGCAGAAGTATCAGAGAAAAAGGATCCTCCTGCCAAAGCCCCAGTACATAAATCATCTTCAAACTATGGTCATTAGTTTAACATAACTGTGGATTTGAATAAAGGAGATTGACCTATCTAACATATTTAAGACTAAATCCTACTGCTACCTAAATCTGAACTAAGTTAAGGCTATTGAAGAGAATCAAAAGCCTTTTCAAAATCAATAGCCAGAACAAATTCCTCATGATCATAATTTTGAGGATAAAAAATCCATTAAAGTGATGTCTTTGATTGCTATTAATGAAGCAATCTGGAATAAATCCAGATTGATCCATATGGATAATCGAATCTCTCATTTTCTCACATTTCAAAGGACTCAGATTTAGGCTTGATTTACATGACAGTGATAAGCAAAAGCATCCCTTGGACATCTCCTTTCCCTTGGATACTGGGCTGCTCAACCTGGGCAATGGATGTCATGGTCTCTAAAGGGAGCTACAGGAGCAATGCTCTCAATGCACAGAGAATGCAGAGCTCAAATAAAATAGCTACCAGCCTTCCCCACAAATCCCAAATACCTCTCCTTTGCTGCAGGTCTCTTGGAGGCTACTGAAGGCTGTTGACACCACTGAAGTGCTGTTGTAGGCTGGAGGAGAGTGCTAGGGAGGAGAGATCAGCAGAGTTAAGCCAACAGTCTGGCCTGTGCTGAGGAAACTGGGGTCTATGGGAGCTTCTACTGCATGGTACATGCAGGTCCCTCTCCTGCAGTTTCCTTTGCTCCAGCAACTCATGCTGAGCTGCTCCAGAGCCTGCAAGGTAGAAGAGGCATTTACCTTGGAGGCTCACAGTGGCTTTTTTTTTTTCTGCAACAGTCTGTTAATTATCTGGCACAAATATGCACCCTCCATCCCTCCCTCTGAAATGCTTGGCACCCTTACTGCCCTGCCAGGCTCAAGCAGAGCTTGGGATGTCACCCATGGGGCAGATGTAGTCTCCAGGAAAACTCCTGCTAAAAAACTTTGGCCAGAACAAAGCCAACTCTTTCTGGGGAGGTGGAAGGACTTTTTCCTTTATTGTTATGTTCCTTATTGTTATGTCACCAATTCCACAGTTAAACAGTAGGAGAGTTAGGCTTCTCTCCTGCTTTTTGGACATAATGCCAGCGTCCCAGAGGGAACAGTCCTGCTCAGCCCTTGAGCAGTAGCCAGGTGACCCTGGGCTGGAGTGGCTGCAGAAACAGCTCCACTCCTCCCCGTGTCCTCCACCAATACCACTGCTCTTCTCTTCTGCTGCAGTCTTCCCTGCCGAGCACCTCTAGCACCTCCTTCATCAATACCAGTTTTATGGCCTCTGGCAGGTATGTCCTAACCACTCTTTCCACCTACTAGCAGTGCCTCTCAGCTCCACACCCTGCTGCCTGCCAGGCCACCAAGATGAGCCTGCCTGTCTTCCTCCTGCTTCTCAACTTCTCCCACCTGGCTTCTCTTTGCCTTGGTGCCTCAATTTCTCCTTGCAAGAACTTGAAGAGTTGTGGAGTGGCTGAAAAATTTGCTGATCATTCCAGCAACAGATTTCAAAACTTTTCAGCAAAAAAAACCACTTATGCTAGAACAGAAGACAGTTTCCATTCATGACTTTGCTTTTTTGCTGCCCCTTTAGGGCAGATGCCCACTTCCCTCACCTCATCTTTCCCTAATGCCAGAGATGCGTGAGTACTGCAAACTGTCACATCCAACAAAATGCTCCTGACCACTAGTTCCCAAGCAACAATCAATCTGCTTTGGTTGGAGTTCAATAAAGGACAACGGTTGCTCCAAAAGTAATGCCTCTTGTTTTATTATGTTGGCCAGATATAAACAAATATTTAGAAGGCTCACCTGTCTGTAAGGAATAGTTACAAACAGAAACATCTGCACCTCCAACAGCTGAAATTATATATAGCATCTTTCATTCCAACTTCACAACCATCTGATATGCTCATTTCTCTGATCCCTTTTCTGCATTTAGACACCACTAAAGCCTATGCAACTCTGAGTTGGCATCTGCTATAGTGCTTCTTCTACTGTGTTGGCAAATTAAGTGAATCCATGTCTCAGAAGTGACTCTTTGTAAAAATGTTCCCTTAGATTACCAGAGTCAATGTAAACTGCTGCTTTTCCATATGAATATCCATGAGCAGGTATGATGGAAGCTGTCTCCTTTCTATCTTAACTAGAAATGATGTAAACATAATAACAAGACCAAGCATACTAGGTTGAACAGAGATCCAACTATTACAATATTTTATATTTGGCACTTACCTGTAGTGGATGCTCGGAAGTGGAAATACAAGAACAGGTCAAAGGCTGCTGATTCACAGCTGGTGTGTTAGCTCCCAGCAATTTGAGGCTTAGGCAATCTCTAGTGTGAGTTTGTCTGGACCTTCTGGTAGCTGCTGGCATTACCAAAATCTTCAAGCTAGTCTGAAGGCCAACTGCTGACAAATCTTTAGAACATACGTGAAGATTTCCTCCTCCCCTTCTCCCAGCACTTTGTAGTGGCTTGAAATGATACCTGAAAATCATCGGAATGGTTCACATTTGTTCTTTGTGCAAAGCACTGAATGGATTTTCTCAAATCCTTTAATGGGCTTGAACCTGAGCAGTGAAAGCAGACACTTTACTGAAAACTTTCTGGAACTTGTGCCACCCCAGTATCCCTGGAAATATCTGTGAAACATTTAGAGGATTGTTAGGCAAAGCATTCAAGGAACCTGAACCAGCGCTGGCAATATTTACTGGTGATGAGAGAAATTAAGTATTTACTACCAACACTTGGCCTTGTGGACTGGTGTTCATAGGAGTAGATATGCTAAAATCTGGCATTCATAGGCTGGCTAAGAAATTGTGAAGCAGGCTCCAGGATGTGGGGCCTAAAGCTTGCCAGTCCAAACCCAGCCCTGCCAGGTGACAGTCTACAATGACCACTGAGCAGCTCCTGTGCAGGCTCTCTCACCAAACTTAAGAGATATCCTTAAGATAAATATTTGTCAGATTCTATAAGAGAATTTGACTTAGAAATTGAAGTGTCTAGTACCTGGATAAAAGCAGTACATGAGATGGAAGGAGCAAAAGAGCAGGGAATGGGGCAGGGAATGGGAGCAATTGGGATGGAGCAATTCAGCTAGCTGAGCCTGCCTGTCATGGCCCTTACACAAGAAGAACTCTTATCATGTACTAATGCTATCAAAAGTAAGTTTTCTTTGCAGCCAGTTGGACTAAAAGAAATGATAAGGAAAGTTTTCTGGCCAATGTTATTAGAAGTCACTACTAGCACTAGAGGACAACATAACAAATCTCATTCACAGCATTATATTTAAATACTTCTGTCACTAGTAAGCTCAGGGACACAAACTGAAAATTATAAATGCAATTATGAATTCCATTAGCTTTTTTTGAAACCAAAGGAAATTTACTACCAAAGGAGAACAAATTCTGCTCCTAGTTACAGTGATGTAATGCCAGGAAAGCTGACAAAATAGTACTAACTCATGTAAGGAAAGAATTTGCTCCCAGCTCCTGGAACGCATGCAAGGCTGTGCTGAACAGATACAGCTATCTCACTATATTGAGGAAGAGCAAGAGAAAGACTTCTAATGATTAAAAAGAAACCCAAACACATACCTTATTTTTATAAGTAAATGTGTTACCTGAAGAATAGTTGCAAACACACTCTCATTTGCATAGGATTTGGTATACATCTGTGCTCTTCAACAGATTATTCCAAACCCTGAGTATTTCTTATAATTAATGTCAATATGCTTGGCTTATTTGTTACAAAAGAAAAGTGTTTCTAATTAGCTTTTTCTGATGTGCAAAACGTCAGTATTTTTTTCCTATGGTTTTCCAAATCAGGTTCTTTTTAAATTCCTGCACAGAAAGACAGTGTGAGGCTTGTGTACCACTTCAGTCTTATTCTGAAGACAGTTTGAATTGCATGTGATAACTAGGCCTTAGGCTGGCCCTCAACTGGGGTGAGGTTCACCTAGGAATGCTAGGAGTTCAAATAACGTAAACTGGACTTGTGGAAAGTCAAGCATTTCAATTTCCTGTTAAATTCAATCATTAGTCTGCATATTTCCATTCATTATAGTGACACATACAATTTCCTTTTGATCTGAAGCAACCCTACTTGCCTTCACAGAACTTTTGAAGAGCTTTTGGAAAGAACAAAACCTTCACAACAATGACATTCAGAGGATTATCACAACAGGCCAGGGACACAAGTTAAATCTCAAGCAGTAAGCGAGAGTGCAACTGTGGTGAGCTGCCCAGATGCAGCAATAAAGAGGGTCAAAGTGAGCCCTTTTTTTTTCTTTTCTTTTTTTTTTTTTTTTTTCCAACCAGTTAATCCTACAGAAAGGGCAGATGAATTAAGAAGTCTTTGCCAAGCCAAAGTACTGGTCCTATCAGCTGCAAGTAGCAGGAGATTGGAAAGTTGAACATACACACTCCCATGTCTTATCATTTACATCTTTTATTTTTCCTGGGAGAAGCTCAGAACTATTTATACATTTAAGTAAAACCACCATGCAAGAATGACCAGATGCCAACTGGAAGCAGTGAGAATATTTTCCCTTTACTTTGGGTCTTGGACTAAGCTCTAAATGAGATCAGTGCTAGACCTGATTATTGGAGGCATACAGGAAGGGAAACTTTGCTTCTCTATTAAATTGGACAACCAAAGTGCTTTACTGAGTGAAATAAGATGTGAGAGTCCATGACATGTTCAGGTCATTTTTCTTTTCCATACTCGTCTCATTTAACAGAAAGAAGTTAATTTCCCATATCACATGGCCTTTCATTCTGAGCAATAAACATAGTATCTTCTTTAGAAACATGAAGCCCCCCCACTTTATAGCCTTGGCGTTGTTGGTTGATCAGTGAATTCAAACAAGAACAGCAGATTCCTAAAACTTTGGCCAAAATTACATCTTAAGCAATTTTTGGCTTCTTCAGTGAGCCAATACTATTGTGGAAACCTGGAAGCAGCAGTCAGGCCTTTGACGATTTATTTAGTAGGAGTCATCTAGTAGCTAATTGTCTGCAATTTTTTACCGCATTCATGTGCAGTGCTGACTCTTCTGGGTTTTCTTCTCAAGCTTCTTTGAGATGTATGTTACATTTCCAGACAGCAGTTCAACTTTATCACAAATATTTTTCTGAACTTGCCAAACCACATCGAAGATCTTCAGACTCAAAAGTAAAAGATAAAATCATCCTCACAGGGCACCTCACCTTTTTCCACCCAGGCACATGGAAAAAACCCAGCTTTAGGCTCCAGTATTTTACATTTCTACTGAGTAAGAGCCCAGTCATTTTAATTTGCTGTTAGAATTTTCACCTTTCCATTCTCTTCTTGAATTTTTCACTGTGAATCTACACAAAAAGAGAGAAGTGCTGACCCATGTAAAAGAACAATCCTCCTTATCTTTCCATACTGTAGAACACCACCACTTAGCCACTTAGTGCTGGCCCCAGTGAAGTGCGTGCCCGTCAATGACCACAGAGGCACCATAGGAAGGATGAGTGACAACCAGGTGGGTGTTGGGGAGTGTTGGCCATGAGTACAGAAGATTTTTGCACTACATTGGCAAAAAATCTTAGCACAGGTCATAGGCAACTAAAACGCTCAGTACATTTTATGACTGTAACCTAGATCTTCTTGGGTAAGTCCAAAGATGAATCTGATTCATTATATATTATGTTTCCACCATGGTTTAAGGACGGCATTGATGTCTATTAAATCATAGAAATAATATAATTTCCACTCAGATTTCTGCTTAATCTCACATGATTTTTCATGAGATAGAAAGTTCTTCCAGTACATTTTCCGCAATTGCTTACTCCTGTGCAGGATGCAGCAACTGTCACACGTCCATTTTGGGGTGGCTTCCTGCCACAACTGGTTCCAATCTCCTATTTATATATTTATGAAGAAGTCCCCTGGGAGATGGAATACACCCTATTTGGATATAATTATCATCATAATTTACTAAGACTAATGCCAGCGGGAAGATATTCTTTTTAAAAAAGATAAGTCCTATTTTCTTAATAAAGCCATTGCTTAAATGTAAATTACAGTACCCAGCCAGGGGATATGCTGTGTAATTTTATAACACTGTGTCTAGATGAGTGTTGGCATTCTACCTACATTCTTACCACACCCAGGAATTCTGGTATTGCACAATTACACACATCCTGTTGACTAATTACATAATAATTAGTATTTTTAATATTCAAATATGCACTCAACTTGGTTATGCAAGACTTTGTGTCACTGCAAATTAAAACCAAAACATAACAAACGTGTAGTAAAAAGCGCTGTTTAGATAGCTTACTGCGAATGGACTTATCTTTCAGCAGACAACACAAAATAATTACTACCTCATACATTCTAAACACTTTCAGCAGGTCCTCCCTTCTGCACTCTTACTTTGGGTAATACACCTGCTTTATAAATCTGTTAAAGTAATTTTGCATTCAAAACAGAATTTCTGTTGTCTGCCTACTTCTGAGTTATGATCACCTATAGAACCAGAGATAATTTTCTAGCTGAAAAAGTACTACGAGGTGCCTGGCAAAAGCAGACTGTTTTTTACAATGGCAATTCTGGAAGGAATCTGGAAAATTCAATTTAGGCCAGCAGCTACCTGAAAATTATCAGAAATACTATTGTTTCAAAAAAGCACTACTGACTGATGAGCCTGAGCCATTAGGCTGTGGAACTGATGTTCAACAAGCCTGGGTGGAATGTCTTGATCTGGGCTCATGGTCACAAAGTCTGGATCACTATTTGGAGTTTGAGACTTTAGATCACAGACGTATTTTTGCAATAATTTCTTAAAAGATGTACCCAAAACATTGTGCAATGCAAATTCTAAACTTGGTATATCGAAATTCATAGAACAGAGCACAGAGTAGAGGCCCAGCCCTAGGTCTCACCCAGGTTTGTACATGGACTGTACATGATGCTTCCATAGCCTCTGGTCTGCCCTTATTAGTTTCTGCAGAGTCCCCAGTTTGCACACAGACCGTTATGGCAGAAAGAGTAGGTAACGTGGACTGTTTCCCTCTTCAACTATACATAGGCAAAACAGTAAAAAGCAACAAACACTTTGTGAACAACTTTTTTTCCTCTCTTAGTGAATCTGAATTTTAGCTTTCCAGTTACTGTGCCTGCAAGTGATATTTCAAGGCACTGAGGATAAATCAATGCCCGGGGGCTCCTTTTTAGACTGTTTATCTTTTCATGGGGCAAGAGGTTACAGAGTAAGACCAACTTCCTTACTGAAGAACAATTTCTTGCTGCCCTTATAGGTTAAAAATTGGCATTTCAGTCTAAACTCTTGCCCTTGACAGGTAGTTACTTTTTATCCAACCAGCAACTGTCAGAAAACAAAGAGGATCTGTTTGGAAGGAGTAGGATGTGGGACTGCTGTGAGGAGCGATACTGCTCAGCCCGAGGTGCATGTAAAGTATCTTCACAACTGTCTTTTCCTGAGAGCTTCAGAAGCCCCACTTCTCCACCCCATAGAACAGGAATAAGGCCACTGCACTTCTCTACATCTGGAGAACATTTAAAAAGAGGTCAGTTTTTGAAGTTACAACTGGGGTTTATTGTTACTTCTAGAGGCTCATGTTGCTTTCTTACCTGGCGTTCTTCGTCTAGGACTCTGGCAGACGAGAAGCTTTTGAGGGGCAAGGTGTCTGTAGCCATATACCTCTATCACCACTGATAAGCATGTGGCAACCTCATTTCACACTGAGAACCACTTCAGAACAACTGCTTGAGATGCTGTTATTAAATCATGAAGTCTCAATTGCCATCATTTGTCAAATTCCTCTTTTCTCTTCTTTTCTAAAAAAAAACCAAAAAACAACCAAAAAAACACAAAACAAAACACAAAGCCACAATGAACTTCCATTCTTTGCTATTTTCCCCCACCAGAAATGTCGTGACTCATTTGCATATATAATGAACAGTATTTGATTACTGATAATAATCCAGAACAAAAAATTGCACCTGGCCTGAAACACAAGGCCAACTTGCTTCCTGATGTGATTTTAAATGGCTGAGATATTAAAACACTGAAAAACGGGGTTTATAATGGAAATACTGACAGACAATTAACTATAGAGATGCTGCTCTAATAAATGGAATAGCCCGTCGTAATCTCTAGTTCATAAATATGCAAATACAAGGCAGAGGATTTGCTCCAAAGGATGTCTCTATAATTTTAACTGACCTTTACTGATACTAAATGAGCCTGTTGCTTCTGTTTTTAAGCACTAAATAGAAAGTACAGGGAATCCAGTCTCTTACATCCAGCACCATTCATCTCCCATCAGCACCAATAGCAAAATCCTCAGTGCCTTCAACAGTAAAAAAATCTGGTCCCAGAACACACAGAAAGCAGGATATCTGGCATTTAACTGAACTCTTGACTGTACTTGATTTTAATTCTGTTCTCATCTGTGTTAATTATTATTATATTAATTCTTCTGTTTGGGAAATTAAGCACACGTTCGCCCCATGTGTCAAAGAGCTTGACCTGCCAAAATGCACTCACCCGCTCAGTGATAAACAGGCCATCAACACAATGAAATAAATGTTGAATTTTATCCAGTTTCCTGTTCTGGACCAAATGGAGGCAAATCCACTGACTTAATATTTAATAACCTAAATGTAATTTCTTTTTTGTGCCTCACATTGCAGAGTAAAGAATTGGATGGCTAGCAGTTTTGCAGATTCCCAACCCCTAATTATTTTAAGCTATTCATCCTGGTATCTGTCCATTGATGCTCAGCCAAATTGCCAGCAGGGGAGAGATCTGTCCAATCCAGGAGCTAAATGAGTCACTGAGAGTCAATCTGTTTTTTTCCCTCGCTGCTGGGATTTCCTTGGGTCCTGGCCTCTCTCTGCTCCAATCACACACACAGCTCCAGGCGTGGGTCCTCTTTGGCTTCAGCTGCCTCCTGTCTCTCTGTCTGCTCTGCTCATCACAGCTGTTGATGGGTTCTTGCCGGCTGGCCACCGAAGACCAATACTTCCATCACAATGCTTGTACAGCTCTTGCTCTGGAGGAAAATGAAGACATCTTGGCCTTGTTGAATTTGCTGCTGAAGTAATACATCAGGTATCTAGATGGAAAGCAAACCACATGAATAAATTGTGTCATCTGGGCTAGATACTAATTTATTTGCCTTAAGTTCTGGGAACAATATTTGCACTTTTCCAGAGAACTCAGTTAAGTGTCATAGAAACTGAATACTAATATGATTTTTGCAGCATGGAAAACAAATATGAAGCAAAAAAAAAAAAAAAAATTGACTCATCAGAAATATTAGCTACTCAGTATTAAAATATCTGACAATGCCGCAAATACAATTTTATAAACAGAAACATTTAGAGTTGAACTATTCACTGAAAAGCAAATTCCTCGCTTGCTCCCTTTTAGGGTCAGGATTCAATTACAAAAAATATGCAGCAGACTTAAGGACTGCATGTAAGATTAAGATAACTGGTATTTCATGGTAAATGATTAAATTAGCTGACACAGTTTTATCCTGAACTTTGCCATTAAAACTGACATTTTTGTGCCAAGCAGACTGTAGGCTGCTGGTAATCTAAACTGCCTTTCTTCTTCTAAAGACTCTAAATAGCTAAAGTACTCTTGTTCTTTACCCTATTTGCAAATGTGTGGAAAATATATCTACATCATAACAAGATGAACTAAGCATGGGAGCAGAGGACTTAATTTTTCCTCATCTATCACACAAATACCTTAAGAAAACAGCAAGGAAGCTTCAAATGCCCAGATTCAGCTCTGCATCATGCACTTTAATCAAGTCGTTTATGTGACTCTATAGAGATGAGAACATGCTGTCCTCCTCACGGTGAGTAAAAATAGAGAAATGACAGAAGCATTTTAGTAAAAGTTTAATTATTCCTAGTATACAATTCTAAACCACTCTATGTTTTATTCCTCTTCTTTTCAGGCTTGCTTGTTTACGCAAAGAGAGTTATGAGAATAATTTTGGTAGAAAACAGTTTATGACTGGTTGGATGAAGCACTGCCAGAGCTGGTGTTTGCAGTCCCTTTCCCTCAGCTGAGCTAGCTGGGAAGGAGCAACTCATTCCATTGTGAAGATATGCAGCCTCCAAAGCAAAGCACAGGCAAGGCCTGACTGCTCAGAGATGGACTGTGAAGGAATTGAATCTTCTGAGCATTGCACTGAGTGTCTTCCAGAGGTGGGTGGGAAGCAAAGCCACCAAAGAGGCACTGCAGGAAAGAGAAGAGGAGGCAGGATAAGCAGACAGCACATCCCCACAAGAAGCTAAGGGTGAGCATAAGGAATGAGCTGTGGCTGAAGAAAATGTCACAGGCAACAGGGTAAAATTATTCTGGTTGTTTGACTTGATCAGGGGTCAGAAAAGTTGAACTTTGCCCCTTTTATTTATTTATTTGTTGCAAAAAAGTAGTATGTCTCTCTGTATGTATCTCACTGCATCTTCTCCTCATAAATAGAATAACCTAGAATATCTTGATTTTTTAGCTAACCAGAAATTTCAAAAGAAATAGCTAAAAAGGCAAAACCACGGATATTGGTCCAGAACAGTGGAGCAGCACATCTAGCCTCCCACACAGAAGAGGCTTATATGTTTTTGGAAATCATGCAATAGCAAAGGCTATCATTATTGTAAAATAATCTATCTGAACAGGACACTTAATTTACCACTCATAGGCTTAAACAGTGGAAGTTCCATGAAGAAGTCATGTATGCATCACATTTACCTCTTTATGTGCATTGGCACAAAGATAAAAACACTGATTATACAAGTTGGATTATACAATCTGTATTTTAGCATTTAGTAACCAAGGTCTTTGCTGAGACAGGTACTAAAAGTGTGGCAGACACCAAAGAAATGTTTTACATTCCAGCAGAGAATTTGATCCTACAATCTTCACACAGACTTATCAGAAGCGTGTGCATAACAGGAACGTTATGGCAATGTTTCTAGATTCCTTGCTAGCCACAGCTGGGCAAGACTTTGGACTCCTTTTCACATCTTGGATCTTCTGGCAGTTTTAATAAAGAAGATGAAACACAGCTTTTTGCACAGCACCTTCCTCAGGAGATAGAAATTGCAGTTATATAACATTCAAGCAGTCACACCACTATCATCAAAAGGTGACTTTCAGTGAAACGAGATGGCTGTGAAGACAGCTTCTTTGTTTGAGAACTCGTGGAAATGCTGAACAATGAAACACAATTTGATTATCAAAAAATCAAACCAGTATGAAAATTTCGCCAACTGTGTTATTCAGTTCAAACTTCTTAGCTCTCCTGTATCATTTCTTGGTTCTTACATGTTGTGAAAGAGACATAACTACTTTTACTTTAAAATTTGAAAACCCTTCACATCAGAGGTTATATGAATCATTTAGTCTTTTCTATTCCAAAATGTTTCACTGATCATTCATTGTTAACTGAGTAAAACGAAGATAGCTATGATGGATGAAAATTTATCTCAAAGTATTAGAAAGAATATGAAAATATCTTGTTCATAAGTACTAACATTTAGATAACATAAGAGAGTCCAACCCCAGTTTTTTCACTGTCACATTCCATATGGCTCTTAATAACTCATTATTACCTTTTTTGCTGCTCCTAGGCACTGATGGTTTCAACCTGGTCTGCCATTGAGCAGAAATGCATTCCAACAGGAGAACAGTGAAAGGACTGGATGTTGACAGACAGGAAGCCTGCTGATATTAGAGATTAGGACCCAACTCATGTCCAGATTTTTTTTAGCAATATATGTGCTCTAAAAGTTCCACTAAAATTTATTTTCTCCTCTTGATGAGAACACTCAGATTAGAGAAGAAGAAACCTGTTGCCCTTTCTAGATCTGAGAGTAAGGTCTCCTCAGTAACAGAGTAACTTGTGCTTTGTGCACAAGGATTTGTGTACAGAACTTGGAGGTACCATAACAAAATAGTCATTTTCAAGCGGCTTGTCACAGAAATGAGACAGAGCCTGGAGAGGAACCTTGCTGACATAGAAAAGGTAAGAATCTAGGCTACCTTATTTCATGAGTGAAAATCCTGGATACGTCTTACTCCTTGTTATGTGCCCTTTCATACAGAAAGAACAGGACTGGATTGAAGTTAGTAGGGCTGCTTGATATGTATTGCACAACTGAATATATTTCAAGTTTTCATGATATTTTACTCGTTTGCCTCTTAAAATGTTTCTTTGGTTTTGGTTGTTTCATTGCTGCCCTCTTCACCTCAGGTTCTCCAGGGTGGCAGGTCAGCCTGTGGATGAGGGAAGTAGACAGAGACAGAAGTTGTGTAAAGCTGGTCGTGGACTTAATAAGGGCTTGATTCCGTACCAGCGAAATCAACAGGAGTTTGGCTCATGTTTGCAATGGGAGGTGGATCAACGCTTTATGCCAGCTGTTCCCTGTTGGGTAGGGATAATCCCTTTGAAACAAAATATTTAACTTGTTCTCACTCTGTTGATGTAAGAAGGCTTCTCGTGATAATGCTTTCATGAGAATTAAAAGGTGTGTCCCATTTTTAATGTCAAATACCTCATTCCTCTAGTATACATTTGCCAGTTCACCAAAAACAAACAAACAAACAAACGAAAAAAACAACAAAAATCCACCAACCCAAGAAATGAGAAGTCTGCTATTAGCCACATGGGTTTATAAAAAGTGCTACAGCAATCTGAGGTGCAGGGTGTATCCTCTATTTGTTCTGCTTGCCATGATAATACTTGCAATTTCCTCAGCTGGAAGATGCAGCAAGGAGCCAGGTTAGTTCAAACATCTGCAACTGAGGTGGGACCCACGGGCAGATATAAAGCAGCCAAGGCCACTGTAGACAAATAAGATGACAGAAAAATAAACTACTAACTGTCATGAAGGGAGTCATGAAGAACAAAATGTGGGAACACTATCAGACAGACAGAGAAACAGGAGCTGAGGGAGGATAGTAACTATGATAAAGTCAGATGTGTGTCCCACAGTCTGGATCCAAGTATAGCATTTAGTCTCATTTACAACTGTATTTTCTTCCTGTTTTACTGAGGAAACGAGGCTCTGATGCTGCCCAGGTTGTGCCATAGATCAGCAGCACACTGTGGCTATTTCTAGCTTCTGCATATATCGAAGTTCACAGGCAGTGTGGAAGTGGAGCATATTTATCCCAGCCTTGGTTTGGTTCACTCCTCACCCCTCTGGCTGAGACCCATTTGGCTGGCAGACTTGGAACATAATGTCTGCTAAGTTTTATAAAGCAATTATTTAATTTGAAAAGTCTCTTTGACTGCATTCTAATAAGATTTCCACAAAATACGGAGTTCTCCACCTACTCTGGGGAACTTTTGTTTGCTCCAGAAACTACGACACTTTTCAAAAAGCTCTTTTTGAAAGACTTCGGGAGAAGAAGCTTCCAGAGACAGAGTTGTTTGGTCTGTCATCTGAGAACTGAGATTTCCACAGACTTACATCCTCCAGAAGCAGAAAATGTATGGAATTGTTTGAACTTAAAAAATTATGACACCTGTACAGAATGAAAGGAGGAATTGAGAGAGACAACAGCAAAGCCAGGAGCTGCATCTTGCACTCTGTTCCAAAGAACATTCTCCTTCAGATTCCTATGGCTCTCCCAGCCCTAATATTAAACATTTGGCCTTTTTGTCAAACACTATTTTAAATTATTAGGTTGGCTGATTAGTTACTAAATATACCATATGTAGTAAATAGGGAATTGTGTAGTCCAGTGCTACAGTCTCAGACCTTTCAGGTATTGCTCCCTTGACATTTAGAGTCAAAACACTGAGTCCCTTTATATCATCTTAAGCCACTTGGTAAACAAGGAGTTCATGGCATTTTCACACAGGGATGTTCTCCTTCCCTTACAGCACCCCCCCATCCCTAACTGATAGCTCTAGTGAAAGTGCTGTAAACACTGAGAAACCAGCTCACGCCAAACAACACAACTTAGACTACTGACTATAAATAAGTGCATTTATCTTTAAACTTCTGTAAACTGGTCCTTTTCAATTGTCTCTGCCATGTTCCTCTCTCCCACATGAGCTCTTCCACTCATCTTCCTTCCTCCCCAGCACAAATCAGCACACCCTGCACTGGAAGCAGACTAATGTATTTGCTTTTTCACCTCTACTTCCATACCTCAGTTTGGGAAATCCTGCTGTAAAACTAACCTCCCTCATACATCCCACTTAAAATATTTAAAAACACATGGCTACAAACAGTATGACAGACACCATGAACTACCAGGAAATATTTATAGTAATATCAGAAAGTAAAAAAAAAAAAAAAAAAAAAAAAAATCAAACTTTTTCCTGGATCTTAGAATGGTTTTAATAGAAATAGAAAAAAAATAGTGCAGAAATAGTCCTGTTTGGAGGAAAAGCTGCCTGAAGAAGGAAAAAAAAAAAGACCTTATTAATAAACACAGTGGAACATACTTAGAAGAGCACCCCATGTAATCCATGTAACTTATTTTATAGTATAAAACTGAGGTGGGACATAGCAGAGAAACTGTTGATTTGGATAACTGATTTCTTGCTTCCAACTAATAACAGAACTGCTTCATTCTTCAGCAGATTGGAACTACTTCTGATCTCTGAAACATGAGACTGGTACAGCTCCAGACATTTCAGGAGGATCACCTGCTTTAAACCACAGTGACAGTTGAAGCTGGCCTATTAGAGTACCTGATTTTATTAAATCTAAGTCCTTGCATAGAATTACTCTTTTTTTTTTTTTTAATTATTTTTATTATGAGATGATACTTTTTGCCCCAAGCAAAGCCTGAGGACTCACCCATTTATACAAGCAGAGGATGGACAGACTGGAGCACAGGACTGGGCCTCAGATATGCAGAGCTGGAATTGTATTTTCTTTGATTATGCATTAGTGTGATGGAGGCAGCCTATGCACAAACCAGATAACACTACTCTTTCTTCCTGCAGGAAGTTTAATTTCTTGCTAATTAAAATGGGTGTATTTGAGTATGACAAGAATTAGGAAAAAAAAAAACTTAGAAGTCCAGCACATCTAAAATCACACAACTAAATTGTTAATGAGCGATGAATCTTAGCTAGGAGAACCACCATTCTCCTATAGCTACTGTATGCTTTTGTTCTTAACAATAATAATAAAATATTACCGAGGCTGGAAATAATCCACTGCAGCTGAAGAATGGCTGTTTAGCAAACCACTATTTACTAAATAAACTACTGACATCCTGCTGTGATCCACTATCTGCCAAGCTGAGTTCCTCCTGTCTCCCTTTCTCCCA